GAGCAGCCCGACGCGCGCGGGCCCCGACCGCCGGGGTTGTCATGGCAGCAGCTCCATCCCTGACCGCCACTTTCTCCCGGAGCCGACTCGCAGCGCGCGGGCGGCGGGCGGCGTGGACGGCGCGCTCATCCCGGCGGCGGCGGCGGCGCGGGGCTGCGGGGCGCGGGCGCCCACCTTAACCCCCGCCGCGCCGGGCGAGGCCGTGCACCAGCGCGGTGGGGAGTTTAACCATTCCCACCCCCACCCCACCTAGGAAGAGCGGGCGCTTCGAGGTTGAGAAGATAAAGTTACCACGCCGTCTTAATAAGCCCAAGACATCTTAATAAGGGTCACAAACTAATTGGCTAGGGAAGGGACACCTTGCTGCATGCCCCTTTAAAGAACTCAAATCCGGACCACCAGCGTTCTGAGTTGATCTAGTGCTGAGAGGATGTTTTAGTGACCTCCACTGCGTTCAATAGTGCACCCTTTAGCCCCTCCCGCCAAGAAAGCGACTTAAAACCTGAGACTCAACCCCAGGAGGCTAAATTGAGCTCTTTCCTATGTAAAACAAATGCAGAAATCACAGACACCTCTTGGTGTGTGACAGTGGCGGAATAGCATCACAGTGTGGCACAGTTCTGACACAGTTGCATGCTTGCCCATCCTGCTGTCCACATTAGAAGGTGCTAGGCTTGCATCCGTGTTGCTGCTGGGGTGAGTGTAAGCCTTTGCTTCCCCATGGTGCATACTCCCAGCGTTCTGGGCTTCACACTCACACAGCTGATCTGGAAACCCAGGCAAAGACTGGATTTGCTGGCATTCCCCGCTGTGTTCCCCTGCCTGCTGCTGGCCCCTTGGTGTTTCCATTGCTGCTTCTGCCTTAACTTCAGCTCTGATGAAAGGTAGCACATTTCCTGTACCGCTCCCCATCCCCGGGGAGAAGCAAGAGCAGCCCGCACAGCAGTGGGGACACTGATAGGTGCTCATCTCAGGGATCCCCACGTCTGGACTCCCAGCACTGACCTAAAACCTCCCTGGGGACAAACAAAAGGTAGCACTGGCTCCAGCTGTTTTTGGCTGGGTTTACCAAAGTCCAACCGGGGAAGCTATTTGGGAAAAAAAAAAAAAGCAACCATTAAATAGCAGAAAAATGTTCTTGCACAAAGCCGTCCAACTCCAAAAAGGCTAAAGCTTTGGGACTCAATTTCTGTGACCCTCGTGGCCTTGGTGCTATAAAAGTCCCTGTGGCTGGGGTAGCACCAGCCACTCACAAGTAGATAAGACACTGGAGATGACATCATATCCTCCCACACAATCACAACAGAGGCAGGGTGGCGGTGGGCATTGGCATTGGAGATGTGGATGCGAAACTCCAAGGGTCAAAGAACGACGAGAAAGCTTGTCTTTCTGTTTTAATTGTTGACCCAATCCTGCTTAGCTGGGGAAAAAAATAGTCTGCAAATTGACACTAAAGATCACGAGATAACATTGTGTTAGTTCATCATCAGGCCAATTTTCTCCTCCTCTTCTCTGGCAACTTCTACTGATATCAAATTCCCAGGGAAGCCATCTGTCCATCTTCTCCACTGGGGCCACTTGATATATGGCACCAAAGACTCTAATTGTCAGCCTATGGCTGCAACATGTGACTCCAAAAATTACATCTTTATAGAAGCAGAAGCGATGCTGTTTATATCTTTTTAATGGAAAGGAGAATTAACCTATTTGAGCACTAGCCCATTCACTCAAGATCTTCTTTTTATTTCCATGTTCCGCTGGAGACTTGTGCAATACGAAACTGAATGATTAAGATATTAGATGGCAGAAGACAGAAGGAATGAGACTGTGCCCACTTTCAATATGCTCAATCTGGGGTTCCTCTCTCAAAACCAAAGTGTCACCTTGGTTATCCATCTGTGCAGTTCAACCACACCCCTTACTCCCCCACTTAACCTCCCTATTCTGTTTTTTTTTTTTTTTCTTAAAGAGTGATTTATTTTATTTGAAAGGCAGAGCTACAGAGAAGGGGAGAAACACAGAGGAAGAAAGATCTTGCATCTGCTGGTTCACTCCCCAGGTGGCTGCAACCAGCCAGGGTTGGGCCGGGCCAAAACCAGAAGCCAGCAGCTTCATCCAGGTCTCCGATGTGCAGGTAGGAGCCCAGGGATTTGGGCCATCTTCCATTGTTTTCCCAGATACATTAGCAGGGAGCTGAATTAGAAGTGGAGCAGCCGAGACTTGAACTGGCACCCATGAAGGATGCCAGGGTCCCAGGTGGCAGCTTAACCAGCTATGCCATAACACCAGCCCCAGCCTCCCTGTTCGTAAACACATTCACATCACAGCCAGTGGAGTCTTTTCCCTACAGGCCTAAGAATCTCAGGGATGATTCGTCTCATGATAAATTCTAATTCTGCCTCTTGCATCTAATTCCCAGGCAGGTACAAATGAGCATTAGTTTTTGCATCTAGGAATGTGGATAATGACAACAGGCCTTCCCAAGGGGCCTACATACATGATTAACTCTACAGGAAAATACTTAGAAATCCATTTAAGATGGAAGCAGCTTTATTAATACATCTTTCCAGCCACCGCTTCATTACTACGGCTGGACAGAAAAGAGATTCATTGTAAGGCTCTTTAAGGTATTCGGTTTATGCCAATCTGGCCTAAGATAGACCACTGCTGTCCCTACCGTGAAGACAGCACTGAGCTGCGGCATTGTGGAAAGCCCCACAGAGCCCAGGTGTCTCTCGGAGTGGACCATGAAAAGTCACTCATGCCTGCTTTGCAGGTCCGGAGCTGCAAACCTGATTCAAAACTTGGAGTTTCCAAAATGACGAAAGGGCAGAGATGCTCATACAATTAACGAGGCAGAATGCCTTGCACTCAAAGCTGCTATTGAAGTGGTTTAAAAAGATGAAGTTCAAAGTCATATGTCAACTCCCTTCTCTTCCCCTGATCCCTAAATATAACCAACACTTAGTGACTTATCTTATATCCTGTCTCTTGCTTCATAAAAACTGCTGGATTTATTTTATTTTTCTCGGCATATCCAAGTTAATGAAAAAGGGATGACAGTCAGAGCAATTTCATTATTTGTGTTCTTTATAGAAACAACTTCCTCTCTGCCTCCTGGAAAGCAGGCTCCTAACGAGCATACCTCCACCTCCTCCCTACCCCTGATCTCCCTCGCCTTCCTCCCTTCCTCCTTGCATACACATATACTGTACACATAAATCAACTTGTCACAGCTTGTCTCTGCGCTGACAGCTGTAATTGCTTCAGGTTATAAAAATATCTATAGGACAATGCCTTTCAAATTCACACACACACACACACACACACGCACATGCACATAGGCACACACAGAGCGAAAGGAAACAATCATAATCCCTTTAATAATCTTGGGACTGCAACAGAGGCAACCCGAGAGGCACTTGTGTGCAGACCCCAAAGTGCAGCAACAGATGAGGAAAGATTTATGGAGATGTCTGGCAGTCGGAGTGGGGAATGAAGCAGGGTGAGAATGGGGAGCCGATCCCCTTGCAAGGAAAATTGGTGATAGTTTTGCTGTTACTCTGTTTCCTCCAGCAAGCTGGAGTTCACTAAACAGCCATGACTCTGACACACACACACACACACACACACACACACGATCAAGACAGGAGCACCCGCCTCAGAAACACCAGTTCTGCTTCTCCTCTTCTAAAAAGGCTAAAGGCTCCCCTCTCCTGGTGGAGATTTCAAATCGGAGTGCAGGCAGGGAGATGAGAAAAGCAGGCGGTTGGAGAGTGACAGGACATCAAAGAGATACGGGAGGATTTAATCAGGAAAAGCAGTGCACATCTGGATAAAGAGATGTCTCTGGGGGATGGGGGAGCAATGGCCTCCAGGAAAATGCATGCTGGGTTTTTTTTTTTTTTTTTTTGGTTGTTGTTGCTGTTTGGTTTTTTTTTTTTTTTTTTTTTTTTGCTTCTCTATGAATAGGGGGTGAAAATAATTTTGCTGTTCACCTGGGCTACTGTCCAGCATGTTAGGTTTCCAGCAAGAAGAGCAAACCGGCCACATGGAGAGGGGCGAAGACTGCAGGGAGAGAAAAGAGGTCAGGAGCAGACTGGAGAAGAAAGGGAGGAAGAAGAGGTGGAGGTGGATTATTCAGGGACCTGAAACCCAGGCAACTTCATGGGATGCAGGGAGATCGGTAGAACAATCAGAGTAGACAGAGATGTGGAGGAGGAGGAGGGTGAAGAAATCAAAATCAAAATCAAAATGCCAAGGAAGAAAAAGGCAGGGACACCAATGGCGACATCCCGAGAGCCAGGGGTGGGGTCATGGGAGCAGATTCTTCTTCTACGTTTCAGGTGGCAAGAGATCCTGGACTCAGGCAAACACAGGATGATCCATTCCGAAGGAGGCTTGCCAGGTATTTCAGCAAAGGAGTTAGCCCAGAGGGGCATCAAGTTAAGCACTGGCAAAGCAAGACTAGAACTCAGGACTCCTGGCTCTTATTCCAGTGTTCTTAGTACACCTGTCAGGTAAGGGTGCTTCTTCAAAGCTGAGTATTTCATCTGTGGACAAGAAAGTCCACAGAGGACCTGATGCTGTCACTGTTCCATGTAATGCCAGCCACCCAATTATTCGGTTGAATTCAGTTTTATTTTATTTTATTTTATTTTATTTGTCCAATAAATCAGCAAGTAAACCT